TTGAATTTTATTGAAATATGAACTTTTTTCTAATTCAAAACGTGTTTCTTATATAATTAAATCGTGTCTGAAAATTTTAATTGTCATCAATAGATTTCCATCATCACTCGTTCTTTTATACTATTGAAAAATGTTGTACGAGAGTACATATTACAGACCTATTTATTAAACTTTAACTTACATTTTTTTTACTATCTATTCTTGTATAGTTCTAGATAAGCTATCTTCCTTTGAATTTACTCAAGAAATACACACATAATATCTATTGATATGAATACATCCAGTTTATATTTAATCACTTATTTCAATAATACTACTCTGTACATTTATAAATATATATTTCCTGTACTTTATATTTTTGGTAATATCGGAAATTTATTATGTCTTTTGATTTTTTTTAAAATTTCTTGGAAAAAAAATGTTTGTGTATTTTATTTTAAAATTTATCTCTTATTCAATATGTGTTATATAAATTCTACTACAATTGGTCTTATTCTTATTAATGGATTTAATATATATCTACATAATTATAATAATTTTTTATGTAAAACATATTTCTATTCAGCATTCCTTTTTGATACACTTTCACCTACTGTTCTTATTCTTGCGTCTGTTGATCGTCTATTAATTTCATCTCAAAATGTTGATACAAGATTATATAGTTCGAAACGTTTGGCATATTTTTCTATTACTTTAAATACATTATTTTGGATTATTTTTAACTCTCATATACTTATTAAAGTAAGTGTTCAACAAATTTCACCTACGGACTATATTTGTTATTATAATTTTTCAAAATTCTATATTGATTTTGTTGCTTATTCATCAACAATTATTCATATTGCATTTTTTCTATTAATGATTATTTTATGTATGTTGACATTTAAAAATGTTCGTTTTATGCGAACTGTACCACATGAAAAACGACATCATATTCGATCAATGACAAATAAAGATTTTCAATTACTTCGTTGTTTATTTATTCAAGATATTCTTTTCATTATTTTTGGTATGCTAATAATTGCATACTATATTTATAGTCTAATAACAAAAGATCAAGTACAAACACCATTTAAACAAGCTCTTCACAATTTTTTCTACAGATTTCTTAGTTTCTTATATAGTATTCCATATTGTATGAATGTTTTCGTATTTATAATTGTGTCAAAATCATTTCGACATGAATCGAAACGTTCAATATGCAAGATCATTGGCAAAGATCTAACGGCAATGCATGGAGAAGACAACAAACGAGGAAGTATCGGAAAAAACAATATTATTTGTAGTCATATATTACCATCTTGATTGTTAAATAAAAGTTAACATAAGTGTTTGTGAAGATATACTTATTTTATCTAAGGGTGTGGGTCTCTTCTATTGTGACACGCACACCCATCTTATTGAACGAAGTCAATAGTTTGCATTTGTAATTTAACATAAAAAATATGCGTCACTAGAAGAAAAACATATTTCGTATCTTAAAAATGAATTTGAGTCAAACATGAAAAGATGCACTATCAAAATACAAAGTTAACTGCTAAAGTCTACAAATAGTAGATATGTACCAAAATCTAATCTTTTCGTTGCAACAGTGATATACAAAGATCAAATTATGATAACTTTGTTTTTCTTTAGCTCTGATAAGATATAAACGTTCTACAAAAAGCCTTGTTTCATTTCATTATTATATTCTTTATTTTATCAACCTGTAGAAAGAAATAACAACATGACTGGATCAAGTAAGAGAAATGCCTGTTTTTTTTTGCATAGTTTATTAATTCATTTCTTTTATTGATATTTTAGTAAATGCGTGCCTTTCTTCTGTTTCTAATGTACTTTTCACTTATTCCACAGTTAAATTAATAAAAGTACCTAATACATCAATTGCATTAGTTCATCGTCTTCTTCAATTACTTATTTTTGTTTATATAATTGGGTAAAAAATTTCTGAGAAAAAAAAAATAAATAAAAATATTTATTTCGATTAGTTATATCGTCATATGGAAAAAAGGATATCAACAATTTCAAGAACCACATGGTACAAGTATCATTAAAGTTAAAGGTATTGCAAGAGTGGATGGAAATAATACATTTTTTTATACAAGTAAATATCATT